AAATAAATATATTATATTTTTCAGCCTTGTCCGTTATTGATTTCCTTTAAAATTATCCTGCCGAGAGACTAATCCACTGAACTATTGAATTGGCAGTTCGAGCCATAAGCTAACCCTTTAAATCCGAACAACGGTAATTTTTACGAGTACTTTACCGAGTATCTAAAGCACTGTTATATTGTTGTGAAATAGCATCTGTCTACCTATTTCAGCTTTAGCTGACTAACAATAAAAATTGATAACGTTTAATACTGTTCAAAAAATAATTCCACAAATCTGACTCGTCAGCCAAACATGCTAAATCAACTTAGAACAGAAAACCACTAGATGTTGTATGGGAAATGCTGGGCAAGTAAAGGATTAATGCCTGATTAAATAATTAACACATATCTTTATTATTGCTGTTTATTCCATTTATTTCACTTTATTTCAACGTTGGAATCATTAACCATGGTGAAATTACAAATGACCTTTATATTTCTTAATACTCTTGTGGCGTTGAGATATATCCTTTTATTGGAGAACTAGAGGATAATCAATTCCTTATTCTCTGCATATAACTGGTGAGATTATGATTTACTGTAAAAAGAAATAGGTTATAATCTATTGAATATTATCACTTTTGAGGTTATGACCGTTGTAGTGCTCTGATCGAACACTACAATCTTATTGTGTTTCAACTCAATACGTGTGCAGTTGCCTCTAAATAATGGGTCGTGTAAGAGCCTAAAATAGAGGTTATGCGGAGCTGTGCACCACCTGTGGCGTCAATAACTGATCGTTGTTGCTCTTACAGTATGGCGCGAATAGCTGTTCGTTGGAGGAAATGAAAAGCCACTGTGTGGCGTCTATAGCTGGTCTTGTTTTTTTAGAGTATGCTTGGGAAGCTTCAGTAGTCGGACCTTTAGCCGTCCGTTTTCAAGCAAAGCCGAGAGATCAAGAATCAGTACTAGCGGTAAGGACTTGCAATATATCGTGAATTTTCCAGTCTCTCTTCGTTGGCTTGATGTGAAGTTCCCTTTCAATAATTGTAGCTCTTAAGGTCCTTCCTTGTCTCCAAGTGAGATTACAAGAGGCGTGTCCTATGCAATCTACTCTTGATGAGATCAATGTTGAATATATATTGATTCACAGTCATAGAAAGAACTTTTACTAGACTCAGCTGAACGACTTTGTCTCTGGTCCTCCTCCGTGAGAGTAAGTCGTGACTTATCCTCCATTCAATCATGAGAAGAATAAGAAGAATAAGTTGTGGTACATTACATTGCTCGTCTTAAATAGTTCACTGACCCAGTTCCACTTGGGATCCCTTCTTCTTTTAATTATCCAATCAGAGGTTGACCTTGGGCAGCACAATGGACTATGCACGCCTTCATTTCCACTTCCTTCCGGACTCAGTCCCGAATATGCTAATCGGGAATCGGGAAAGTGTCGGAAAGTGGGTGGTTAAGAACAAGGCAAGCATTGTCTTAAAAAGCCGAGTGCGCACGTACGCCTATTGCTTGTTGTCGCACGTGCGGGGTTTTGGGTTGCAGCGAAATTTAGGAAATGTAAGTACTCGATATTTTACGTATATCTGATACTCTATCAAAATCTACATCTTCTTAACAGTAAACAACATATTAGTTTTTACTACACCGAAAAAGCATAAGCACGTTTTAGATAAGCAAGAATAAATAAGCTAAATATTCACTGGAGTTTTCCAGATGTATTGACCATCTCGAATGTCCAGCGACCGTGGGAAGTCGTGGCAAGAAAACGTTCTCGCATTCTTGAACAAATACAATGGATAAATATTGTTTTTGAATTTATTTCTTAAATCATTAATTACCAAGTTAGAAAACGTTTTTTTATTATAATTACAGCGGCATTGTCAAGAAGAAATGGCACCAGGTATAGTTATAATCTGGTGCGCAAAAAATCCAGCCGAACCAGATCGTTATTATGAATTCTCTAGCCCTGTTACTGATTTGGACTGGAGTAGAACAAGACCGAATCTTTTGGCTATTGGATTTTATGATGGCATTGTGCGAATCATTGACGTTAGTAAAAAGCAATTGACCATCATTCGACAATCCGATAGAAAAAGTGTGTCTTCTTACGAACCCCATTGGCAGGTACGGATATTGTAATTTTATATATGTTTTTTATGTATATAAATTCTCAACATAAATAAAAATGAATTGAGGAATATGGAACGCATCAATTAATTATTGTTTTAGATAGTTGAATTTTAATGTCTTTTGTTAATGTTTATTTTAATCTCTCTATTCCATAATTTATACATTTAAGTTTGATTTACAATAATAAAGAATAATTAATAATAAATCCTTGATCATAATGGATTATATCATAGTATAGAACCTGTAGAGATCTGTGATAATTTAAACAATTAAATGTAATGCGTCTCATGAACACTATGAAAGTAATAATATATGATTATTTAAATAAGAACAATCGATTTCTTCTACATTATTCAATTCAGAAATTATAGAAAACAACAGTTGTGTTTTTATATACATCAAATAAACAATAATTTAATTTTATTATTGATTGTCATGACTAGAAATTATATTAATTTTCTTTGAATAATGCTAAAAATTTTTTAAATTATAATATTTTATGAATTCATATTATATCTTATATTATCTAATTTATTAAATGGTGTAATTTTATTAAATCAACAACATTAAAATGATTTCAAATCTCTTTGAATCATATTTTATTTTGTAATTATATTTTAGAAATCGAATAAAACTTAATTAGATAATTATAAATTATATATACCAACGCATTGATGGAATTCTTATGTCTAATTATAATAATACTGTCATATTATATACTTTAAATACTTAAATTTATTCATGATATTCAAATCGATAATAACATAATAAATTAAAATATAAAATTTGCATTTTTATTAAGGTAAGATTTGTAATTTTTGTTTATGTATTATTTTTATTTACGATTAATACGCATTTTTTTATTTAAATTAAAATGTGTTTTGCATTTATGTAAGAATAAAATTATTTCTTAGAATAATTATTGTATCGCCTGTGAATAAGTTAAAATGATTAATTTAATGTTCACCATGTTATGTATGTTTAACCATGTTATTTTTAATAAAAGCTAGTGTATACGTATCTTCATTATGTACATTCGATAGTGTTAAAAATAAACATTTGATCATCGAAAGAACTTAAAAGAACATCGTCAGCTAAAATTAATTGATGATATAAAGAAATTATAAAGTGGGACTGAAAGTTTGAAAATCGTTTTAAGCGCGCGAATAAAGAGAGCATACGGAAATTATCTTCGTTCTCCTTTTATTGCTTCTGATAACTTGTTGGTCTTGATTCGTTCATTTTTCATTTCATCATTCATCTCCCCCTACAAGAGTGCACATGAAAGTCAAATGCCCGAGTTTAGGTGACGTGGTGGCCTATAACGAGTGAATCTTTCGAGATCGCGAGCGATGGTGAGCAGCTGTACGTATGCAATCAAGATGGGTGTATCTATAACTTCATACCAGACGAGCACTTCATCGGTCGGCAGCTCCTGCGACTATGGCGCACGGAGGGCAAGGTACCGGGTATTCAACAGCTAGATCAGTGTCTAAGCCACAAGGTATCAATCGCCCAGAGTACGGCTGTCTTGCTTTTGCGTTGCCATCCGAGTCAACCGGGCATCTACTTTGTTGGTACCGAGGAAGGCTACGTACATCGATGCTCGACCAGTCATCACCAGAGTCAACTCGAGACCTTCCGTGCCCATAATGGTCCAATACATGGTCTCGAGTTCTCACCATTCTGTGAGAAGATTTTACTTACTTGTGGCGCCGATTGGACCGCGCGCATCTGGACCGAGGGACTCAATGAGCCTCTTCTTACCTTTTCCACGAGCATGGCCTGCGTTACCTCCGTATCTTGGAGCCCTCGAAATTCAACTATATTTGCAAGTGCTGTAAACAATGAGGTGGACGTCTTTTATTATTTGTTGATTTTTACCGTGACAATTCTTGGCAACAATGCTTAGTGTCAGTGTCTAGTAACAGATGCTTTTTTCTTATCAATCTTTTGTCATTGCTCATTATTTAAATGTATTCAGTAATGCTCATTACACATAAAAGTAAATTAAACTCATTTAAAATCATTGAAAAATTAATTATTGAAACTTTTGATATTACAATAAGCATTTACCTATGTCACTTATTATTTTTATAGCAAAATTTCTGTATTCCTATATAAATTAATCATAAATTACTTCAACATAATATAAGAAATTTATGAAAAATTAAAAAAAAAGCATTTTTAATATTCATTTTAAGTTTCTTAATAATTGTATTTTAAATAAAAAATAAAAGTAAATTGTATTTTAAAAGTAAAATTGTATATTAAAACTCATTATTAATTCTGAAGAGAAAATGCATGTACAACATGCGCACACACACACATACATGCACTTATTTAATATATTTTAGGTATTAGCATACTAATAAACAGTTCTACATATTATGAAGATTGTGCAATCATTTTCTTTTTAAGCTATAATATTTCATTTTAATTAAAACAATAGTTAAATATCAAGTAAACAAGGATATCATTTTTCATTTTAATTGAAAATTATTTCTAGTAAATGATACAAAATAACCCATTTTTTTTAATTTTTAATGTTTACATTCACAGATATGCATCTGGGACATAAGACGTAAGACATGTAGACCAGCATCGGTGACGTGTATTTCTCAGGGCGCAATCATCCAGAAGATTCAGTTCACATCTAATGGGGAACAGATAGTTGCAGCCGATGACAATGGGATCGTCTACGTCTACAATACCATGGGCATACCCTTGGCACCTTTTGATCAAGTTCAGACATTTATAAATGCCATTGATAAAGCGCTTCTTATCAAACCCGAGATCCTTAAGAGGTTCAAAAATCTTGGATTCATCAATGTTCTTGAATAGTCAATGTAATAAATAATTTACTTTAAAGTTGGTCCTCATTACATAAGCTATTAATTAAATCATGTTACTTTATTTTAAGCCGAAGTTCAAACCGTTACAGTTTCTTTTATTTTGTACATACTTTAGTGTAGTCATCTCTTGCCATTAATATTTCATTTCAATTCCTAAATTCCTGCAAACTTTGTAAATTTTTTATTTTTATAATCGGAAAACTAAATATGACTTTTAGTCGATAATTTAATATATTTGAATTTTTTTTCATTTTTCATTTAATTGTATCCTAATATAAAATAATTTATTATTTAATCATCCACTTCAAGTAAATCATTTTAATGAGGTATATTAACAATTATTGTATTATAAACTCATTTCTAATTGCATTGTTTTTAAAAAAAGTCAAAAATTTGCTTATGTATTATAAATCATGTTTTCCAATGTAGAATGTAGAATGCAATTAATTATATAATGTAGTCTATGAAGATCAAGAATTTTTTATAAATTTTCTTATCAAAATTTAAAACAAAAATTATATTAATATTTAAGTTTTAAAATTCACGTTTATTTTCTTTCTTATATAAATAATTAATTATAGTACAATTTCTACTCTTGTAAAAATAAGAAATATTTATACATTTGTAATTCATATAATTAAATACAGTGTATTGTAATTTTTTATAAATATTTACTTTATTGATAATTTTATTAAAATTAGATATTGTTATTAAATATTTTGAAACTTATTAATTAAGATTTAAATTTTATATATTACATAAAAATGAGTTTAATTACCATTTACATTAAATCGAAAAAACTTTTTATAATATTATTTGTTTTCAATACCATATATATTTGCCTGTTACAAAAGATACATTTGATGGATGACGAATAAAATATTTCGTTATATTTCGTTTTAATTTATAATTATTACAAAATTTAAGTTTTTATAAATATAATTATACTTTATGAACATTTATAACATACTTTTTAAATCAATACAATAGCTTAAATTTTAATAATTATAATAACTTATATTTTAATAATTTACAACCAATTGTTTTTATAAGAGACCAACAAGTTGACATTTATTAAAACCATTATATCGATGTCAAAATATTTCATATAATATAAAATATTACATCTAATCTAATGTTTCTTTTCTTTTTTAAATAACACAATTACGATTAGTTCGATTAATTTCTGGTTTATTGTTTAAAACTTTTTTAACATTATATATAATGTATAATTCGAAATAATATAAAATCTTTAAAAAGTAGTTAGATAAGAGCCATAATTTTATAATTTTCAAGTAAGTAACAAATTTTAAAAATGGTACTTAAAAAGTATAAAATAATAGTAGATTTAAAAAATTGTTACATACATAAAATAATTTATTCTAGACTTTATAAAATATCAAAATCAATCTTTAACTTAATATTTTGAAACTTTTATTTGATCAAAATCTTAAAATTCAAGCTTCAATTTTAATTTTAAGCAATAGAATGTTTTCTAAGAAACATTTTCGAAAGTCTAATAGAAATTTTATTTTAGAATTGTAATACTCTATATTTTATACGCTATTTTAACATTTTTTTCAATTTTATTCGAATAGAAATGTTAATTTATATAATGATAACAAATTTGCTTTTTAAATTTGTTTTCATGCATTATTAATGACATTATTTAATTTTATTTATAGAATACCAAGTAGCATTTATTAAAAAATAATTATGTATTTTTCTTTATATTTTTAATCAAAAACATTTCACAACCGTTTCAATTTAAGTCTCACTTATTCATAAATACAATAGTGTTTTTAATTGTTTAATTAAAAAAATTCTTATCAATATGTAAGTTAAATTTTTTTAAATATATATCGAAAATCGCTCAGCTTTTAAAGTAAAGTTTTATAAGTGTATTTCATAAAAAATTTATATTAACTTTATAAAATATTGCCTTACTATATATACTACAATTTTCTTAAATTATATAAGCGCTGAAATATTGTATGAACGTACAATATATTATACCTTAGTTAATATACAGAGTATTACAAATAACATACCAAGAACGTACATAATTTGGTAACATTAATTTCATTCTTTTATATTAATACTATACGTATGTGATACATACATGTGTGCGCATATATATACGTCTATGCACACGCAGTTATACTACATATATACTTTGTGTGTGTATACATATATAATTTATGAATAATTTCTTGTACGCGATCTGTATAAATAAGTATATAATCTCGCTATAGCATTATAAGTTGATTAAGCAGTAAGAACAGACATCAAAATGGACCCTCAATTTTTTTGGTTAAAAATGATGTATGTATAATAATGTATTATATTTAAGGGTAGTACAAGTAATGTTATGTAGAAATTTCATAAATTAAAAAATTTCCAAAAACAAAACTAAGTATTACAAATAAAAAAAATTTTTGTCTAATTGTATTTTTCTTACTTTTAAGAGATTCAAGTTGTTAATTTGTTGTGATGACATTTTATTTATTTAAAAATTAATTTTATATTATATGCTATATTGAACATATTTAACGTTAAAAATTAAAATATTTCTAAGACAATTATTCAACAGTTACATATTGACCTGTTACGTTTGCAATCTGATGATACCTCCGTCTTCCTGCAAAGTCTTCATTCTCTTCATTCAATTGTGCAGAACAAGTTTCTACTCCAGGATGAACTGGTGTTACTACAATTTGTTCATAATCATACACCTTTCGTCTAAAACAATATTAATGTAAAACTATATGTTTAATTGAACATTTAATTGTTCTTACTAAGTAAATATTTACCCCATTAACTTAAGGATAGAGTTCTTAAGCCATTCAAAAAATTTAAATTCTGCTGATACTCCTGGCTTAACAGCTGGATTAGCATGACCAATATAACTCCAAACAAGAAAGCAAACGATTATATTTGCTAATGCATAACCCCAATGAACCAAAAACATTATTAACAATTTGATTAAAGACTGAAAATAAAAAATTATAATAAAAATACATTATCATTATTATAACATTAATAATAATAATAATAATAATAATACTAACACCTAATAGAGAAAACCATCTGTTACAAAAAGGACTGTACCAATTTCCCAATTTACCATGAATATGAACTTTCTTTTGTATTTGTCTTGTTATACTATTATTATCTTCAATGCTTGGTGATGAATCTATAAAACCATTGCTTTCAATGCCTGAATTTTGCTGAAAGAATAGCACGTTTCAATTTACTTTTATTTTCAAATTTAATTGTTTATATATTGTTATATATGTTCATATAAAAGTTACTTACTATTAGATTTTTGTGTCTAGTTCTTTCTGGAAATAAATAATCTAGATCATTTTCATTCTCAACTAATACATTTCTATCTGAAGTACCATAATTTCTATCAGCAGATGGAGATTGTGCAGAAAATCTTTGTTCTCGAGAATGTCTTAAGTCAAATGTTTGTGCGAGAGCAAAATATGCATAGTCCATGCAAGCATATGTTAGTAAGAATGGCATTGTCACTATTGGTGCAAGAGTATTTATTTGCCCTGTCATAATAAATGTCAATGTAACCACAGCAACAACCAACATAGCATAAACTGGTACCTTATTAGGACCTCTCTAAAATAATAATTAAAATATTGAAACTTTATATAATAAAACAAATTTATAAAATAAATTTATAAATTCTCTAATAAAACAATCAATTAGAATTAATAAAAAAACTTTTTTATCTGGTAAATGATTTTGTACTTGTTACATACTCCTCTTTGTAAGCAGCTTATTCCAGGAATAACATTTTGACTTGCAATAGATTGTAAAACTCGAGGTGTTCCATACATGGCACCTAAGCAGCTGCTGAAGGATGAAACATACAGACCTGCAAGTAAGAGAACAGAAAAAGCAGAAACTGTTGAGGCAATCATAAAATTTGTTTGCAAAGCTGCCTTTGTACATGTTGATGCAAGGAACAAAGATAAACACAAGTACAAAACGGTACTGAAAAATAAAAACTTCTTTATATATTTTGGAATTATATTGTTAAAGAAGTATGTCATTGATTTAATATTTACCTAAGACCTAATGCAGCTAAGGTACCATTGGGAATATCTGTAGATGGATGTCTTAAATCTCCACTCATATTTATACCTGCAAGTACGCCAGTTACAGTCGGAAAAAAAACTCCAAATACAGTAAACCAACTATATCCATTTTGATATGATGGAAAAGTATTATTTTTTAAAATTTCCATTGACCATCCGACAAAACCAGCCTCTAACAACAAAAATGCAAATTAATCTTTTAAATTTAGAAATGTTATAAACGAAAAAATAGTAAAATACAAACACAAATGTATAGGTAATATTACAAAATTGAATAGTTACTTGGATCTGTATGTGTAAAACTTCCAATTATAAAATCAAATCCAGCAAATAATAAAATTAATAGTAATATAAATTGAAGTTTTATAACCCATTTCACACCAGCTACATTTATTACAGAAAGAAGTATTACTGCGGCACAAGCAAAACCTCTTTGTGCCCAAGTTGACTCAAGACCTACAAGTCCGGCCATAGACTCACCAAAACCTAAAACATTTAAAGCACACCCTACTGCCTGAAACAAAAATTCATAAATAAATTATTATTTTCATATTTTTTCATATTATTTTCATAAAAAATCTATTATTTTCACTTTTAAGTATTTAACAAAATAAAATAATAAGATTTTATTCTTTTAGATTCAAACCTGAACAAAAATATTAAAATATTCTTTTTTACTTCACCATAAATAAAATTTATGACTATACTACTTATATGCTAATGAGTATTAATTTAAATCTTACTTGTCCAAAACAGTACAATAAACCAATAGATCCTCCAAATCTTGAGCCTAATACATGTGATAATAAAAAGTATACTCCTCCGCTTTCCACTCTACATCTTTCGCAAATTCCAACAGCTGAAAGCACAGATACTAACGCAACACAAACTAAAAGTAAATAAAAAAAAAGTTTAGTTGCTATATTCTGATCAATTTAAATATATTACAATCATTATTACTTGTACAAAATATTATTAATACAGCATTTAATGCACCAGCTTGTCCAACTATCCAGCCAGATCTCAAAAAAACTATTACACCAAAAATATTTATAAGACATGAGGTAAATACACCATCCCAAGTACCAAACAAAACTGGTTGAGATATAAAAAAGTTTGATTTCCACCATGGATCTGCATTCTATAAGTAATGATATTTTAATTATTTATATTTGAAAATTATTTAAAATATTACATACAAATTCTTGTGCAAATAGTTCATTTGTTCCAGTTTGATACATTTCAGGCCCCAATTCTTCATGTCTACTATTTTCTGTTCGTGATGATCTACGATTTTCTGCATTTCCGAGTCCATATCTAGACCAATCTACTTCTTGATCACTTTTAATATTTTCAGTATCAGTAAGATTTCTTTCGTTAGAACTCATTATTTAAACATTTATCTTCTATAACTGTACAAGAAAATCACTCTGTTTATAATAAAACATTTCCTTATCATATATTTTATGAAATTTCAATTAAAAAAATTTCCTAAAATTTAAACTAATTTTTCATCAATAATGTATCGACAGGTAGTTTTAACAATATTAATTGTCAACAAGATAATTTATTGTTTTAGGACCGTTATATATTAGGTCATAAAATTTTGCTTAATATTATTACAACTTTTAATAATTTATAATCAATTAGTCATTGAAATAAATTTGACAGTTATAGGCTAGAAAATAATTTAGTAAAAATAAAGCTTATGTCCTTGAAAAACTAAGTTAATATGAAATAAATTAAGTGAAAAATTTGTGCAATATTACTAATATATAACATTTATAACTCAATGACAATACGTCATTGTAATGAGATAACGGTAACAAACGTAGGATTTACTTCGTTGTCCGCGTGGGCAGCCATATTTTTCTAGGAACATATTGATTCAATTGTATCCATCAGCGAGGTAGCTGGTGGGGTACAAATAATTAGTCGATAAATATGGAAAAGATGTAAAATATATAAATATCGAAAGCAGGATAGGTGTAAAATTAGTATAAACAATGATCATAATAAAATGAGAGATCAATTTTTAATAATATTGATTGCTTTGAATTATTTAAGATTATTATTAAATACATATTCTTTTTTTACTAAATTTTTAAGGATATAAAGTAAAAGTATTTCGTTAAAAAAATTAATGGAAGTTTGAAGAATTAATTTTACAGTTATTAGAAACAATTATAGCGACCTTTAAAATAGTATTTTATTATTTTATTTATTATTTTATTACATTAACAAAATTTCTTATTTGAGAATGAAAATAATTACATACTCAAAACATATAATTATTAACAACTCTTTTCTTTCAAGACACAGGATCACACACATGCATACAAACATTTTCACAATCTTATATTAAGCTTCACAGATGAAAAGTAACCAAAAGATTCTGACGTTTTAAATTGGATAACGACAAAATAAAATTGGTGTAACATAGTTGAGTTTTTTAAATTCATGTTAATAATTAATGGTGATAAAAGCTTAGTTGCAACAGCATTTATGACAGAATTTATGCTCCACGTCGCCATTTTTCACCATTGCTGAATTTTGTCATTTCTTTACCACTAACTCCACAAGTTCCTATTCCAACTCGACCATTTACATTTTCTGGTGTAGCAAATATACTTTTCTTAATTACACCTTTTTTTGTTGACTGAAAAAATATTTCATTAAATTATTTAAACTAATTCAAATATTATACAAATGTCATTTTAAAATGAGAATTAAATTGGATCAATATTTTTTATACATGCATATTTGTAATAACTAATTTCAGTTCAAATAAAAAATAAATTATTTATAATAAATTCTAATTATACATGTCACAAATGAAATATTCATCTAGAAATATTTTTTTATTTGCTCACTCTTAATAATTAATCTTACATTTATTAGAACTTGTAATAAAAATTATTCACAATTTTTAATTATTTTAGTACTATACTATAATTTTTTTTTCTTTAAATACTATACCTTATTTGCAAATGCTAACCACTTATTTTTTTCTTGTTCTCTTTCTTCATCCAATTCCTTAAATCTTTGTAATTTTTTCTGTTTTCTTTTTTTTAAATATTCACGTTGTTTATTTGGATCCATACCAGCTATTGCAGACACTTGCATTTTTCTGAAAAAAGTAAAATTTATTTTTATTACATAATATATGAGACTTCATAAATAAAAATTTATATAAATAATAAACTTTATACTTTAAAGGATATATTATTTCAATAATTGATTATTATTAAGCTTACTGATATTTGGTAAGTAGAATAAAGTTTCTTACTTCTTTCTGAAGTATCAGTTCCAAGGATAAACATCAGCATACATCATCAATGTATACAACGAACAGTAAGCATAATTTCAAATCAAGCCAAGCCAAATTCACAGTACATGGATTCAATAATGTTGATTGGAATGGATAAGGAAAGGAAAATCTTTTGTTAGTTTAATTGTACTAAGTATAATATGCCTATCTTAATTAAAAATTTAAAAATGAATTAATATAATCATAAAAAGTACAGCTATAAATAAAAGAATAACACTTACTTAGATTTTTGTTCTGCCCAGTCTGATGCTGGTCTTTTTGCCACAGATTTTAAATGACTAAGCATTGTAACATCTTTATTTTTATATTCATTAAAAATAAGATTTACAACTCCATCCTCAACTATAGATTCTATTGTTGCTTCATAATACCTAAATCGATTTATAATTAAGAAATATGTATAATTATTTATATAATAAAACAAATATTTATATTAATTATATTTGAGTATAAAAAGTTTATGGATTTTATTTCCTATACATTTTTTATTTATCTCACAATTCAGAAACTATTACTTGATACTTACTACGATAATTTGATAATATATTAAGATATTTATTGAATTATATAATTGGTTATTATACTAATATATCAAGTTAATATAAACTGAATGTCTTCCAAAAATATAAATTGATTTACTGTGAATATTTAAAGAATTAAATAATTCCACATGTTTTATAAAATATTTAATTATAAAATTAATTAATTAAATACTTACTTTCCATCCTCACTCCATGGTGCTAAACACTGATCACCAGCTTTCCACTTGCTAGCTAAAACGGCTAATAATTCTGCATTTTTTTCATCTTGATCTGGTTTCTTTTCTTGTTGCTGTGATTTTATAAGGTCATGTGTTAGCTCAATAACTTCTTCTAAATCAATTTTCAACTTCAATAATTCTTCATTCTCTGGATCTGTTGTAAGAGCTGCCTCAACCTATATATATATATATATATAATACAAGTGTTCAATAATAATCTTTACAATATGTAAAAAACAGTAAGTAATTAAGTATATTATTCATCTTTAATACAATGAAAGTACGAATGAAAACATGTTAAAATATTTTATCACCTGCTGAAGCTGTAGTTTATAATTTTGCAGGTCATCCATGTTGGATGTTTTTGAGGCTCGCTAAATCACTTGAAAGATAAATACGGAGGTCTTCTATATGAATTACAGAATGGTCTCAACCTTAACAAAATGATACACAAAATAAACGTAGAAGATATATAAAATTGTCAAATAAAAACTTAGAAATTTTAATCTCACGAAAATAGTGACAGTAATATTAACGCCGCCATTGTGGAAAATATAAAACTCTATTGATAAAAATCATATTTTGTTTACCGACATAATGAAAATAAAAGTAAATAATATCACGATCAATCTACATGCACATACATGATTGATTTTAATTTATTGAAAATACTATCATTTTAAATTATTCACTATAAAATGTGAAAAATTATAAAAATAAGTTTTTATAGTTTATTTAAAAAATGTTTTGTTTTTAATTTAAATAATAAACTTTTATCTTTCACTGTTTACAAAAATTTGACTTATTAATTTTTTTAATAAATTTTTAAGAAACATTCTTATCTATCATTTATAGTTTACGTAAAACAACATATAATAATTTTTCATTATATCATATTTAAATTTCTCGGTTAAATTCATTCTAAGAAAAATATAACATATAGTGTATGTACACAAAAAATGATCATAGGTGAAATAAGATAAAGACTGTACCTGTCTGAACTTGAAACTGTATGGCGTAATGTTTATTATTTAAGCAGCGGTTTGTTTTTTAATTATAATATTAAAATTGCAATATTGAATATTAATTGTATTTTATTCTTATAATATTTCATATTATCATATAAATACATCATTGTCGTACATATTTAATATATTATAAATTAAAGTGAAATCTTTTTAAACAATGTAAATACGTTCAATTCATAAAACTAGAATAAACAGTAAAATGAGAAGAAGTAAAAATAAACGGAACACAGAAGTTAAGCAAAAAGATACTAATAAAGATGATAGTTTTGCTTTACAAGCCCGTCAAAGCTCTATGAAAGTCAATTTAAGTTATGTATCTAATTTATCTGATTCTGAACACAGTTCATTAAAAAGATTAAGCAGTCAGAATAATAAATCTACTGAGGAAGAATCATTAATACACAATGATAATATATTTGAAAGTTTAAAAAAATGTAAAATTAAAAAATGATATATGAGTATTTTTATAATCTATTTAAATAAAATTAATTTGACCATTATTACTAATAACATTTATTTTTAGATCATTGTAAAGAAATATCAAAAGTTCAATGTACTTTATTAGGTGATATACAAGAAAAAGAACAACAACTTAATAAAAGTTGTATGAGATTGAAAGATGCTATTATGAATAAAACTAAAGTATTATTTGATAATCAAAATGAACTTGGTATAAAAACAACAGAAGTTTTGTCAACAGGATGTACTTTGCCTATTAATGAAATAAATGGTGTAAATGTTAAAAAATCACCAAGTATTAAAGTTAACATTGGAAAAAATGATCAAATTGTTATGTCAGGTGATGGAAAAAAAAGAAATCCTGTTCAAGTGAATTCTATGTTAAACTGTTCCAGAAACAGTGGATATATTTCTTCAGAAACAATGAATGAAGAAAATATGTTCCTTAATCAGAGTATAGTTAGTACACCAAAGAAATCAAGGACTGAGAGATATATAAATGGCAATCAAATCTATGATAAGATATCTCCGACAGTATTAAAGAATCCAGTTACTAGATTATTTAGTGATAATAATAATTCAAATAAAAGTAATATGTGTAGAATTTCAAATGAACTATACTGTCAAAGTCCTATTTTAAATCAAGCTATCAGAAAAACTAAAGCTTCTCGTATATCTTTGAAAAATAAATTTAGCCAAATTTCTTCAAAATCTTTATCATCTAGTATAATAAATCAAAATTTGCATGATAAAAATATGTTTAAAAAGAACAATGTAGATATTTTGAATACCTATAGTTTAGATGATAATACAAATAATAGTGAAACAATAAATATTTTAAATGATTTGAATCAATCGTGTATGGAACTTACAGCAATTGCATCTCACATACCAATAATTAGTAAATCGGTTAAAGCTGATAATATTTCTAATATTTGTAATGGAATTCAAAATTGTAATTTCTTGAAACAAGAGGAAATACCATTAACTATAAAAAAAAATAAAAATTTAAATAAAAAAGTCAATAGCTTAGAACTATTTCAACAAATTGAAAATGAAAATACTAGTCAAAATATTTCTTTGAATATTAAATGTATATTTGATCAAACGAAATCCACAGATTATATTAAACAAAAAGAAAATAAAATACCAAATCATACAGAAAACAAGATTAGTAAAAATAACAATAAAGTTTTAGAAGAAAATGATTCAGTACATCAACTGTCAAATATGTATTCCATTTCTTCTTCAATGAAGTTATGTACTTCATTAGACAATATAATAAATATTTCAAATACAATTAATGATGATTTAGATGAAAGTCATAAAATCATATGTTTGAAATCAAATGTTAATATTGATCAAGATAAGCAAAATTATGATATAATAGTATCTCGACAACCAAGTATAAGTACAATTCGTTCATCTATGCAAGTTAATACTTCATTAGATTCAATTAAGAAATCTCCAATAATAAATACTAAATTGAATTTTAATAACCTTTTATCAATGGTGCAAGAATCTTATTCTCAATCTAATACGAATGAAAGTAAAATTGTTATGTATACCTCAAAAGATCAACATTTAGAGAGTGATAATGATCTGGAAAATGTACCCTTAATAGAAAGAATATCAAATATCTCTAAGATAAAAACTACAACAAAAGAGAATATTGAAAATCATAATATTAGCTCAAGTACCATCAAAAGATCTACTAAAATTATTAATGTTGATCCAAATATATCAACTAAATCAATTAATAAAAGAAATACTAATTTAATTAGTAATGATTTAAGTATTATTGAAGCCACACCATATCCCATAAGTCGTTCCATTCAATATAAGACAATGATTAAGAAAAATATTGCTATAAATACTCCAAATCCTCAAGAACTTATACAAACATTATCAGATAATGAATATACAAATAAGTTTAAAAGAATAATTCATAAGCAAAAAGTTGCTTTGAAAAAGTACGTATAATAAAATTATAATTTATTACACATATATTTTATAAAAATTTCAGTTTACATATTATTTTAGGAATCAAGTTATATATACAAGAAAAAAGGTATCAAATTTTAATTCATCAGATATACATATTCAGAATGCTTCTGATGAATTTTTTAATCAAAAAGAAAGAAGCAAAAAATTAGTCATTAATGATGAATCTCTAAATGAAATGCGGGATAACATAAAATTTAATAAAATATTTAATATTAAACCAAAAAATAAAAAAGTAACCAGCAAGCGTAAACTTTATCCATTACAAGAAAATTCTGGATTTATTTCATTTACTCCAACAGATATAACAGAATTATCACAAGAAAAAGAATCTCAACATATAGTAATAAAAAATCGAAAAATTACACAAAAGAAACAACAAAATAAATTAAAATACAAAAGTAAGGACACTATTAATATAAGAAAATCATTAGAAAATGAAATTATGTTACAAAAAATCGAAAAAAGGAAAAGGAAGAATAGAAAAATTATAAGCAAGAAAATCATTGTTAAGAAAGTAACAAATTTAACTTTATTAGACAATATGATGCCTAATGAGAAAAAAGTATCACAAAGATTAAGCGACCGAAATTCTTTAAAAGAATTTGATTTAAAAAGTATAAGGTATCAAAGAAAAGAAAATTTTTATAAAAATCAAAAAATTATTATTGTTGTAACAGGATTGTCCAAAGAGTAAGGAATATTTTGATATTTTTGAAGATTTTTCTGAAAGTATTAAATTTTTCTTGAAAATTTGTGTATTTATTTTAGAGAAAGAGATTTAGTAAGATCTGCAATTAAAACTTTGGGATCTGCTTCTTTAGAAATAAATGTGACTTCTAGAACAACCCATGTTATTAGCTCAGGTGTTCGAACAATAAATATGTTGAAAGGTATTATAAGAGGTTGTTGGCTATTGAGTTTTGAATGGGCTCTAAAATCACTTGAAAATGAACAGTGGTTAGATCCTAGCCCTTTTGAGATGATTCATTTTGCTAAAACAGTTCAGGTATTTATATATAATATAAAATGTTTGAAATTTTAGATCAATATTAATTCAAAATTGAAATATCAGATGTTTCTAACTTTTAGTTTATTTATTTATTTATTTTTATTTAACTTCATTAATCTGTTGTATCAAATATCAAAGATATTTGATCATAATAATATATATTATTTGATATTTTGTTTATATTGTTTTTATAAAATAATTTTAGTGTGTGCATGTGTCTGCGTGAAATACTTTACAATATACAATATATCATTTTTATTATATTATTTTGTTTATTTTTCGAATTCCAAATTTATAACTATATATTAAATTAAATAGAAAAATTTAATAAAATGACACCTTTTTTATTTAGGAAAATCGGCGTGATCGACAATTATTTGGAAAAGCATATGTGCCAGAATTATTTGTTACGTGCGGTATGATTTATATTGAAAATGGCACATCACCACCTACTTCATCTTTGAAAGAATTGATTAAAATAGCAGGAGGGAGAATTACAGAGGATCTAAATCGAGCTGATATTATAATAGGGTTAGAAGGATTAAGAGAAATTTGGATTTTAGATTCCATAACAACCGGTGAAGTTCAATCTTTAGAACAATATAAGAGAAACTAAAAGATTTTCTTTAAATTACAGATATAAAATAAAATTAAAGTAGTATACATAATTGATATTATATTCAACATAAACTTGTTTTTCTGATTTATAAATTTATCGCATATTTATTAATTTATAATTACAATTTATATAATAACAGAATAAGTACAACATATAAATAGTTCTCTAAGTTAAAATTATTTAGTTTTGATTTTGTTTCAATCATATAAAATGAAATTTGATGAAATCGAATATTCAAAGTTATTTATTTTTTTCTATTTATTATTTTTGTGGATTTTTTATGATTTTGTAGTTTCTCTATTAACTGATTTAATTTTGTGCAGGTATATCTATTTTTATACATATAAATTATTTTATATATAAAAAAATGGTTAAAATATTGTATATTTTTAGGATAAAATAAAAAATATAATTTAATTTAAATATTTGACTATTGTTTTGATAATATAAGGAATAAAAAAATATAAAGAAAGTTTCAAAATATTTTTGAATATATTTCCATATTTGCTTTTACATTATATTATGTTAATAAAATTATATTAAAGTTTTAATTCATTATTAATGGTTAAGACATTTTTTTCTTAAATTATTTGTTTTGTATTATATATGTAATGAGTTACATGTAAAAATATATATTGTAACTTATGACATTGTTTTGTTTTATTTAAATTAGTTTACTAATTGTTTTAAAAAGTAAGTAAATATCTTTTGGATAATATACATTAATTTGTATAATTATATATATACATTTTATTTTTTTAATTTTATATATTAAAATATGACACGTTTTAATCTAAGTTATATAGGAAGATATTTAATTGTATATAAAATAAATTATTCTCTTTATTTAATATAATAAGTATAATAATTCTATATAATAATCTAATACATATATATATATATGTGTGTGTGTGCGCGCGTGCGCGTACATCGAGCGAATGAGCAAGTGTGCAGTATTTTAATTAATAATTTAAAATGTTTAATCATATTTATTTCCACGTATTTTTGTAATAGACAAAGTTATCATAATCTTATAAGTGTAATAATTTTATACGTCTATAAAAATAATTATAAAATTTAATATTATGTATGGAATTAAATACTAATATAAAGAAGTTCATAAATTTGCGTAAGAAACTATGAACTTATAACGATAAATTGAGAAAGTTTTATTTTCTAACATAAAAATTAACAAACAAAAAAATTATTCCACAGAGATTACAATTTAGATGGTAAAATATAAATATAATAAAATCTGATAAAGTATGATAAAAAAAATTAATTTTTGTTAAAAGATTAAACACCTAAGTAAATGACACATAAATAATCAAATATATAATGGTCAAATATTTATTCACTATATATATATATATACATATATTATTTGATGCTATTATGTAAATTGTTTCGACTTATTCCATAAATTTTTTAACTTGATAGAAAAATCATGGTTGACTGCCTGATTAGTATTTTATTATTAGTTCATAATTTTCATTCGCGAATTTAGTAAGAGTATGAAAATTACAGAACTTTTTAAAAAAATTTTCTGATGAGCGGTTTAAAAACAATGATTCACGTGGAAGTATCAAAATATCCATGCATCAATTGCTAGAGAGCTATTAAAAATTATTTAAATCAAATGAACCTGTAGCATAAAATCACAAAAGTAAGGCTCTAATTCAATAATAAAGAAGTGAGAGAAAGAGGGAATGTATGTAAAAGAAGAGGTATGTCAGATGAGGTTAGGTACATAATAAAGTATTCTTCGATTCTAGACGTGAGGCTTCCAAAGCTAAGAGTCGTTGCATAGGATACGATGTTTCAGCGGCCATTTTCGTTCTAACAATTTCAATACGTCGATCTACCATTTTTGTACCGAATTCGTAAATCAAGAAGCGATCCTTCGATCAAACTTCTCCAGCTGTGATCGAATACTGCGCCATATCATAATTAATGGTGATGACGAAGGAGAGGGGTAAAGAGAAAACACTGTGGCATTAAAAGGTATCGGAGTACCAAACTACGCGATGTGTCAAGCTGACACATGTTTAGTAACATGCTTTTTTGTAATTGTCTAATAGCCTAGCGCTTGTAAATATCAGCAATGGAAGCTGAAACGGAATACTACCCAAAGTGAGTATTATATTCTTTTCATATCTCTCATTATCATTTTGGGCCCCATCCATTCTTATATTTGATGTTGTCTGCCGTTTTCTTTTCATCCGCTTTTTTCTACGTTTCTTTGAAGTACAAGCTATACGTTCCAGCGTGATGATATCATTTTCGCATTGCGCGAGATTTTTTGTACCTGTCATAAACGGCGCGAGAATGATATGCAGAAACAAAAGATTATTGTTTCATATTTATTTCGTCAATGTGTACTATTTGAGGTGAAATCGATGATAGTTTTTCTCCTGTCACATGCTTTTTATGTAGATTTGCGAATGCTGTTTCATTAGATAAAGTAGCAACTACAAATGTGTTTAATGTCAACTGCCTGCGACTTATTTGCATGTGTAAACCTGCACACATATTAAGGCATAGAGATCAATTATGACGTCATGGTTGTTACCTTAATTTATATTTCGCTACCCCTTAGGGCATATGATAATGAAAAAAAAATGTTACTAAATTATAAAAGGAGATCATGCTCGTGAAACATTAAATAGAAAGAGAGAGAGAGAGAGAGAGAATGAAAGAAAGATTGACCAAAAGTAATGATAAGCGAGTTAGAAGGAAAGGCAGATAAAGTGAGCAAATCATATTTTTAGTAAATACTAATATAATGGTTAAAGTAATTACAAAATCTTTCTCTCATTTTTTCGTATTTTGGTAAAGACACAATTATTTATATTGTTATTATCATTGCTTTAATTTTGTGCTATAAATAAATCTACACGATAAATTTATTATGTTTAAATCTTAGATGAATTTTAGTTACAGTATTTGTTATTAGCAGTAGTATCAGTTTTAGATATGTATTAATGTTAGAGCTAATACAAAATTTCATATTACACGAATTTGTAATGATTTTTTTATGTAATATTTTAATAATTGCCTTAATCTAATAAAAATATTATTTTAATTATACTTTTTTATATTAATGGTTTACTTATTTTTAGCATTATTTCTTTTCATTATTAATTTTGGATTTATAAAAAGCAAATAAATTTTAATTTGTAATCAGTACTATTTCTAATACTTGTATTTATTAAATCTTTATCATTTTTTTGTAATTGCTATATTATTTATTTGAATGGTTAAATAAGATATTATTGAAATTTATTAATTTATTTAGCATAAGTCAATATACATCTCCATCAGCAGATCAATGTGTGCTGGTGCGAAGAAATACAACATTTGTTACAAATTTATATAATGGGGTACCTGATAATCTTTTGATGAATAGTGTTGCTTTTTTTGTAAGTAAAATTAAAAAAGTATTTATATGTATATTGTTGTATGTTTCAAGAAGTATACGTATATACAAATTATCTTAAATTACAGTGTTTAGTATTATTATTTGGTCTATTACGTAAAAAAGCTTGGAATTATGGAAGATTGGCTCTCTTACACAAAACAGAAAATCGTTGGATGGAGCTATTTTATGGTGATAATGAAACAAGAGATGCTGAAGTAACATGCATTGAAGCATCTGTTAATTCACATCTATCTCATGCGGATAGAGGATTTTTATCATGGATAGTTACAGCCTTTAAATTACCGTAAATGCTAATACATAATTTATATTATAAATAAACTTTTAATAAATTATTATATTATTATTAAGATTTATTAAAATAATAAATATCTTTGCAGAGACGAAGAACTACTAAAAAGAGCAGGTCCAGATGGTTTACTATATGTCTCGTTTCAGCGTCATCTTATTATACTAACTGCTGTGATGACAGTAGTTTCAATCTGTATATTTTTACCAATAAATTTTCATGGAAATATTGTAGGTGATACAAGTGCTTTCAGCCATACTACTCTATCAAATCTAGATTCAAAATCTCCTTGGCTTTGGATGCATACATTAATCCTTTTGTTATATTTACCTATTGGAGCATATGTCATGCGACGATTTATAAAACAAGTAATTGTTATAATTATTATAAAATATAAGTACTTTAAATTACTTATACATTTAAAATAAAATTAATTTTATATAGGTTCGAGATATAAAACCAGCAGGAGAGCTAGCAGCAAGGACCTTATTAATTACGGAAATACCAAAACATCAATGTAATGTTGAAGGTTTAACAGAGTATTTCAAGTTTGTATAAAATTTCCATACTAAAGTATAAAGTATATATTTTGTATTTGTGAAGTATTTAAAATAAAATATTATTTACAGTGAAGCTTTTCCAACTTTAACAGTTGAAGATGTCACCTTAGCATATGATATTAAACAACTTTCAAAACTGGATGCAGAAAGAGACTGTGCAGAACAGGCAAGACTATATTGTGAAAATTATAATAGAAGAAAAGGGCCACTAAAATTATATCCTCAGCCTTGTGGTCAGATTATAGGATGTTGTTTTAAACAAGTAAGCAGCTTAAATAATGTTTAAATCCAAAATGTTGACTTTTAATTAGTAAAATTTTATGCCAATTCTTAATTTATTATTTTTTAACACTTTCAATTTCATGTAATTATTATATTGAAGCCCGTCCAATAAGTAAAAGATGTACATAAAATTATTTAAATTTTTATATAATTTTTTAAATATTATATGATTTATATTATTATAACAAGTTTAACTAGATATTGAAATCATTGATTTCTTTTAATGTCAATGCAATTAAAAAGTTATTTTTAAAAAATTTCAGAAACAAGTAGATGCACTCGAATTTTATACAGCAGAAGAAGCTCGTCTAACAGCCCTTGTTGAAGAGGAAAGGAAAATTGCCTTAAGTCGACCCATAGGAGTAGCATTTGTAACACTTGGTACGTGTTATTTGAAATTCTCGATCGTCTGGCGTTATTTAAATACGCTCGTTATTTATTCATTCACAATCACGACTTTGGATAGTTATAAATATATTATGTAGGCACACCAGGTACCGCGAGAAGTATGCGTCGTCAGCTGCGATCTTCACCGTCAATAAAATGGGTCGTCGATTACGCTCCCGCTCCCGCGGACATATTTTGGGAGAATTTGAGCATAGCCAGGCCATGCTGGTACTTCAATGCAATTCTCATAAATTCCTCATTGTTCCTCATAATGTTTTTTCTCACGACTCCAGCTGTGAGTAGATTTTTTCAATTATTATATTGCATAAAAAATATATAAGCAATGGAATTTATACCAATAATTAAACTTTTTCAGAATTACATAATGTAATAATTGATTTATTTATACATTTAAATGTTATTATGTAGAATTCATTTAAAATAAAAATTTTAAATAAAGTCCATTGATTTTTGTGTATTTTTTGATAACGGGCTCACATCTTATTATCATACATGAATCCGTTAGAAATATATGCTACGTGTTTTTGCGCGTGTCACGTGTATTGATTATAAGAACAAACATTACAGTACATGGTAGACAGTTTCTTAGAATTCAATATATAATTGGGCTATATAGGTTGTAGTGACGGCGGTGAACAGTCTACCAACAACGGGCGAGATAAAAAAATTAAGTCCTGTGCTGTCTGCCTTTCTACCAACGGTCTTACTGGTGAGTGTAGCAGCCCTTATGCCAGCGTTGGTTGGACGAAGTGAACTCCTTGTCAGGCATTGGACAAGGAGTGGTCTCAACGGGGCCGTCATGAGAAAGACACTACTATTACTGTTACTCATGGTACTTATTTTGCCGAGTCTCGGACTTACCAGTGCACAAGCTCTCTTTGAATGGACGGTTAATAGCCCCAATAAAAAGGCGAGATGGGAGTGTATTTTTCTGCCCGATCAGGTAGTTTCCTTATTTCATTAAAGAATTACAATGCGGCCGTTTAATTTTTCATTGGTAGATCAATGAATGTCGAGTCGGCTGTTGTGCTTAGAAAAATAAAATACCAAAAGTGCATTTCTTTTTTGTAAAAATCTCGTATCAAATATTGTTGTGGACTTCATTATTGTTGGATACTAACAAAAGCACAATAAATACCTGAACAGAAGCACATTAAATCTTTTTTTATTTTAATTTATCAAATAAAACTTATAGCTTAATCTGAATGAAAACGATAAACTTTCGTGTTAAAGACATAATATGTATTAAGTAAACTAAGTAAATTAAGTAAATTTATGTATTTTATATATGAATCTACAGAATTTACATTTATGTTGCAGGGTGCTTTGTTTGTAAACTACGTGATTACGGCAGCCTTATTAGGAAGTGGTCTTGAGCTTGTAAGATTTCCCGAGTTAGCACTCTACACTTTCAGACTTTGTATAGCTAGAAGCCGTGCAGAGCGTATTTATGTCAGAAAAGCAGTGTTATGGGAATTTCCATTAGGTGCTCATTATGCTTGGCTTCTACTGGTTTTCACAATGACCACAGTGTATAGTTTAGCCTGTCCACTTATTACACCATTTGGATTGTTGTATTTATTAATTAAACATTTAGTAAGTGTATCTTTTATACAGTGTGGTAACTATATGTCTAAACAAAAAAATAAAATTTAAAAGTAAGCGCACTTTTGAGATGGAATTTCAAAATTCATTATGTTATGAAGGTTAAATTTATTTATGACTAAATTATTGTAGTCGAAAATAGAAATATTTATTTTTTCAAATTTTTCATAACGATGTCTCTGATCTATTATTTTCTACAGTAAATCATTTCCTTAAAACTTAATTTTCGTAATTTATTAATCTCTATATTATATATTTTCATTGTATTAACATTCATATTTTCATAGTATGAAATAACTTTATGGAAATTGATTAATTTTTCTTAAAGTTTTTTGTTATAGAACTGTCAACGAATATTTGAGAAGCACTAAATTCATTTAGTGTTTATATTTTTATTGTTGAATTATTTTGTTATATCAACAAACGACTATTAACTTTTATCACAACTAAAAGTATTAATGTAAATTATACTAAATTAATTGCTCAAACAACTCTATGGTTGAAAAATTTTTTATAAAAAATAATGATATATATAAATATATGTATATATTTGGCTCACAGCAGTAACTAATTACTTGCACGTTTTGCACGTATATAATTATTTAATGCGAAAAGTGTATTACGATTGTGTAAAATTTTGCTGATATCATCACTTGCTTAACAGGTGGATCGACACAATCTTTGTTTTGCTTATGGACCGAGCGTTGGAGGTGGTCAATTGTCCGGAGCAGCGGCCAACGCTGCGGGTGCAGCTCCGGTCCTTGCCCAGGCATCATTTATGGCCTTGGGCCTTGTGAGAACCGGTCTGTCGCCATTAGCTGCTGTTCAACTAAGTGGACTCGCTGTAAGCATTTTAGGCCTTGTCACAGGAGCAACTTTGCCCGCTTCCAAGCCTAAGGTATACCTGATCGTTTTAATTTAATTAGCGTTTCATTATAAAAATGATTGTAAAAGCTTACAAGAGCTTCTGATGCTGCAGTTTTATGATATACTGATGATGACTCATTGATTTAAATTCAGATACTATATAGAATTATACCTGTTACTATCTCATTCTATATTTCATTCATATTTTAACACTGTTTGTTTTAATTTAATGTGAATTTTAGTTACTTTGTTTATTTAGCTAAATAAAGTATTAAAATTGATATGTGCACACTTATATGATACTAATATAAAACATTTTTTACATAAAAATTTTATTTCCTTATGAATACATAGTCTTTTAGTATATTTAAATCTTTCTTTTTTAATAAAGAATGTATAAATTGTTAATAATTTAAGTATAAATATTATTTTATATTTTAAAAACGAAAAATTTTGTCTAAAAAAAGCAGAAGAAAAGCAAATAAATTCAGATTAAAAATAGAAAACTAAAAGATTATTATTTTTTTATACGTTTTACTAATTTTTCATACGAAATACTTATATTTTATAGAATCAATCATCGAAACGAGATTTGTCTGCAGGTCAACATTTTGTTGCTCCAGTACTACGGAAAAAGCTAAATGTCAATCATCTAGAGGAAACGCTTACTGGTTCTACTTCTGCACAAAGTTCACCAAGTACGAAAGTTTATTCCACAAGTTCTTTCACTCAAGGAAGTCCAAAATTATATCAGGATTATGGTCGAAAACCAACTAATGTTTAATCCGTTACATTAACAGACTGTTATTTTTCTTCTTTTTTGTTTCTATATACTTACAAAAAATGATAATCGGTTGTATCAATCGGTCTTTTTATTCAAAAGGATAAAATATTTGAATTATTGAGATATATATTTAACTTATTAAACGTTATCTATTAGTATAAATTAGGCAATATAATAAGTACTTTGTATTAAATCATAAAGCGTAATAAGATATGAGAAACTCCAATATTGGAAACGTCAATTAGTAGTAGAATTTTTGTAGGTCAGAAATTAAGCTTTTATTTCATGTCAAGAGAATAGAAGGTTGAATTGATATTTTAGGAAAAAATTAATTTTAATTTATAAAAGTTATTGAACCAAATTGAGAGATATACATGTATGCAGCTATAAAGTTTTAGGACAAAGTTCATAAATAAGATTATGTTATGAAACTTGGAATTGTTTAATTTATAATATATATTTTTTGTAATTGTAAATAGTGTTTTGTTTTTAGTGTATTCTGTAATTTATCTATAGTAAGTTCAAATTTTTAAAAATTCTCATTCTTTTGTATAAATCCATTAAAAAGAAATTTATTTCTACTCATTGAAAAACGGTGTGATTTTCTTTACTATATCCACATTTTTGTAATATGAATATTGTACTGCATAAAATACCGAATTAGTATTAGAAAGCACAAATAATTTACTTTTAAATTACAACAATATTGCACATTAATTTTATAGTTAGCTTTAATGAGTAGTGCCACTCTAGTAATTTATCTTTTTCTGTTAATGCAATCTAAATAAAATTTTTTTTATAATAAATTTTGGTTATATATGCTGCTAAAATATATAAATGCATGTTATAAAATTGTAAACGGTTCGTATTCAATTGTTGATAAACAAAAGAAAAGTAAAAAGTAAATAAATTATTTGAATAAATATTATTTTAGAGATTCTCATTTAAGAAAATCGAAATTTTTGAGAAATTTCATAAATAAACTTTTTATAAAATGAAAAATATTCAATAAAAATCGGGCAATTCAAATTATTTTAGATGCTTAAATATAATTTTAACAGTTTGGAAGTGATTTTGGAAAAAATTTGAATTTTTTTTATTATGCACATTTCATATTAACTAAACTACTAAATAAAAATAATTTTATTGCCTATAATTACTATTTTACTGAGTACGATAAATTTGAGATAATTTAATATATAATAGAACTTTTTTTTTTAATTCTAGAGTAGCATTATTTTTTAGGCATTTTTGTTTGTGCAAAAAATTCTCCGTAAATTATGACTCTTGAATAAATAAGAAATTTAATTTATCCTTAACTTTTTAAGTTGTTATTCTCTTTATCCTAGAGACAACATTTTTTATTTTCCTGTTTCCCAAATTTTACATACTTTCCATTTGTTATTAATATATATTTATTAATCTTTTTATTAATTTATTAATCTATTTATTAATCATATTTATTAATTCTGTATAAAAATTGAGAAATTATAGATTTATAAAATATGTCAGTTATTCACAGGAGCAGAACGTAATTATATTTCGTTGAAGACGTGAATCCTGAAACTTTATAGTCACACTGCATATGAGTGCACATGTGTTAACATACGTGCGCTTTCGTAGATTTTTACATATTTAAAGATTGATCCTTACGAATATCTCTCAAAATTTTGAAGTATAACAATAATATTAGATAGATTAAAATATTTTTTATAAATAAAATCATAGTATATGTATTGTATATTATGATAATATGAAAAAATAATCAAATATATATTATTTATTATATTTTTAAAAAACCACATATACTCAACTTATGATACATATTTAGCATGATTTATTTTAATTAAATTGTTTTTTAATAAATATTTGAAATTATATTTTATTTAAAAAAAAGTAAAGTATAATTGTTAAATAATTTATTAATTAAAACATGATATTATTGAATCTCATTTTACCAATTTCGTGACACAAAACGTCAAATAAACAAAACTAAAAAAATATAAAGGAAAATGATGCATTGCTATATTTAGGATTCAATAATTATAATCATAATATAAAATAACAATTAATTATTATATAAAGTGGGATAACCTTCGCGACTTTAAAGGATTAAAAAATATGAACGCAATGTGTTGTAGTCATGTATAATGTATATTTTTCCACAATAATATAATATTATGCTACATGAGTAAAATTTTAATCATTTTAGATACTTATTTCAATACTTTATGAATGTACATTGATTTACGTAAAACAAAATTATAATAAAAATCACTTTGTCTGTATATCAACATCAGTCTTAAATTATACAAAAATTAGAAACTCTTCAATATTGAGTAGTTATAAATTAATATTTCATTTTCGTACAAACATGTTCTAACCAAATTAGAAATTCATGATTCTTGGTAAAAATGCAGACAATATTTTAAATTTGATTAAAAATCTAGTATTGGGTATCTACAAATTTGAAAATATATATAATTACTTATTGAGTTATTAATTATGTAAAACATTTTGCTTCTTTATGTTGCACATAGGTATTGTAATTCGTGTTTGAATATATTCAATTATTATTTTTGCCGTATTATATAAATAACCAATGTACAAATTGAAAATTTCACCTATTATTATATTTCTTCTACTGTAAATTACGGTTACATGATTCGAATAACAATGGCTTCAGTAACATATAGAATACCAATATAGTAATTATATATAGTTTATCAATATTATATATATCTATTTTTAATTTTACGGATACTCTTACTTAATTATATATTTTTAAATAAAATCATTTTAATAATAACCAAAATAGTAAGGGGAGAGTATACACAGTATATACAAATATTATACAATTTATATCAATACTAAATGTTATAAAATGAGATATATGCAATAAATATTGTTGATTTAGAGTACCGTATCTAATACGTTAATTTCATTAGGATATAATACCACAAGATAAAATAAAAAATGATTTGACGTGTATAAATGAGTATGTTTACTTAGCCGTGTAGAGATTGTTTGCATTAATCTTATTCCTTATTAAAACTCTGCACAATCAATGAGATAGTGGTCCCAGCTCCCAAATGTGTCATTCAATAAAAAAACTGCTAACCAGTATAATAATTAAACCGAGTGTAAAATACGATATTATAAAAACAAAATTAAAATAAAAAAACGAAATGTGTTATTTAACATATTTTTGGCACTATTATTATATAACATAATAAGTATTATTACAAAAAAGTCGTCTTTCTAATTGAAAATAAATGGTGATAGGCGAGTAAACTATTGAGATTCGGAAAAACTATCTTGCAGGCCAAAATTTAAACTCTTAAAATGTTAAGTAAAGTATAAGCATTAGCCAAACACATATTAAGGGTCGACCGGTGTCGGACGCTGTCTGTTACTAAGTTGCTTTTTAAGCTTGGATCTGCGAGCAGCGAGTAGGGAGTCAGTTATGCGCCGAGCTCACTTAACAATCCCAATGATGGCCGCTATTTGATCAAGGGTGAAGTCGTTCTCGGTCGCGTTCTGCTTAATTCGCCTCTTATTCCTAATTTCGGCGTGGGAATTATTGCCCTTGTCGACGGCTCCTTCCTCCTTCTGGGACTCCTCCTCATCACCCTCGTCGCTGCTCGGATGAACCTGCGGAAGGGCACACAGTTCAATGGGCACCTTCTTTATCCATTCTGGATTTTATAGCTTTATCATAATCAGTATTAGGCTTTATTGCATACTCTACTTAGGTGTATTTATTAACTCGCGACTGAATAATAAATAATTCATATGTACTTTAATATTTTTTTTATTCTATGTTTATATATTTATATATATATATATATATATATGTGTGTGTGTGTGTGTGTGGGGGGGGGTCAATTGTAGTATAAAATAAAATTAATTATACACGTGTGTGTGTGTGTGTGAACGCGAGCGTGTGTATACGTACAAAATCTCATAATGCATACTTTTCGAAGTACACATTATTATTCCATTATTTTGCATATTTCCGAAAGAATAAAGTTCTTCGGATTTAAAAATTGAATTTATATTCTTAAAATTATAATTAGTAACATTATAATTTATATTCTTTTATAATTTTCTTTTACAAAGAATGTAAACTTCTGCATGATGAAATCCAAATCGGTTTTGTTATAACTTGATCTTGATGAAATTTTATAATTAGTCGGTAATATGCTAATTGCATTAATTTTTTGATATCCAAGCATTCTGCCGGCAGGAGTAATCAATGCTTCCGCTAAGACATAAGTGAGTCAATGTATGCTTATGTTTGCATTATATTTATTTTAAAAAATTATGACTTCTGCATTATTTAGAAAATTTTAATTAATGTAATTAACTATTTATATTTACGTTAAAAACTTCGTAAATTTAATTTGAAAATAAAAATAAGCAATAAAACTAAAATTTACATTTTATTAGGTAAAATATATAAACTTTCTACTCAATTAAAAACAAATATTACCAATAGAAATGAAGTTATATATCTTAGTCATTATTTTCATTATTCTTTATTAAAATATTAAAAACTTCTAATTATGAATATTATGAAAATGATATTCTAAAGATTTTTATTAATCAGAAAATAATTATTTATCTTATGAAAAATTATTTAAAAGAGCATAGAGTAGAAAAATTACAAAATTTACTGAATATATTAACATATAATTGTATGAAATATTTATAGTACAGTGTTTAAATAGATTTTTAATTAAAATATATATAATGTTAATTATTTGAAATATAGCCTGTCAATAAAGTTAACATTAAATCAGAAAATTTTCAAATACTTAATTTATTTATAATATTTCACAGTTTTATAGGCTTTATGGCTTAATCATAGTATTTATAAAAAGAATTTCTATTAAAATGTAAAATAATCATTAAATTATTTTGCTAGATACAAATACTAGATATAATTATAATTCTTCTATATTGATATTCCAATTCTAGTTACCATCATTTTTATTATTAAAACTACATACGTATATGCTTTATTTAAAAAATACGAAAAAAGAAAAACGAAATAAATTCCAATTTATACTTACATAGAGATGCAATTAAAATAAAAACATGTAGATCGCCAATAACGACTGAACTATAGATCGTTTTAATAATTTAAAAAGAATATGTGTTCTATTTGAAAAATGTATGAAATTTATCAAAAACATCAATTAATTTAAACAAACTTATATCATTAGTAAATTTAGTAATTAATATATTATAATAACTTTTATAAAATTTTAATCATTTTATTGTATGCTGTAAGCAAATAAAATATTTATTTTTTTTATTTCAGATTTTATAATAGATGTTCTTCAAGAAATACAACCAAGATATGAACAATTAGATAATATATAAAGTGATAGTTTCACACACATGCGTATAATTAGATATGTGTTTATTTTTATACTAATTTGTAAAACAAAATATCAACCAATTTGGTAATAGATTTTTATCTACCATATAAATTACATGCTGCAATTTTTAAAAACGTTTGAAGAGTTTACATGTAAGGTTTCAAAATATAAAAGATATACTTTAAGTAATTTATTTATATATTTTTATATATATATATATATGTGTATGTGTGTGTAAATATATTTTTAAAGATTTAATTTTTAATATATATGGAATATTATACCAATCGTTTTTTTCTTTAAAGAAATGATTTGTAATATTGAAAAATTGTTGATGTTTATATATATATATATATATCTTATTTTATTAATGTTTATATAAAGGCTTTCGTTATATAATGCATTTATGTAATAAATATTTCCTATTTAAATTAAAAAAAAAATTTTATTGTATCATAATTAATACGTTGTATATATTAAATTTTATAATTTATTGCGTGACTAATAATTTATGAATATGTTTTTTTAATAAATCTAAATAAATTGTATAAACTGTATTGAATTTCGAAGACTTGACTTTATAAAATTGTATGTATTACTTTTTATTCATCTAAGCGCTACTTATATTTGCAAAAAAATAAATAAATACAAATAATTAAGCAAATTATCAAAGTATACTTATAATATTTCATATTATTACTACATAATATTACTATTAATATCTTATAACATTAATTTTTTTAATATTACAAGAGTAAAATATGTTATATATGGATAGTAATAAGACAAAAGAAAAAAGATTGTTAAAGCTTTAAAGTTATTAGTGAATGCAAATTTATGGCTAGTCTTCTTTGATAATATTTTATATATAAAATCTACTACAGCAGTATAAATCAAAATAAATATATTTTTATTATAGTTTAGTTTATATGTGATGGATTTTCCATTAAACATTGTTAAAAAAGATTGAGAAAGAGAATTTAAATATATTCATCAATGTATAACTGAAGCAAGTAATAATTTGGATGATTACTCAGTTACTCAATAAAAATTTTTTATTATATAGAAACATAATTTTTTAATGGAATATATTTATTTAAGGAAACATAAATGGGACAAATGAAATAACATCAATTGAGACAAACATTATGTTTAAAAAATCGTTTCCTTGATAAAACATATTACTTTATAAAATAAAATAATTTCTAATTATTACATGATGCAATGTTATATGAATGTATATATATGCATAAAGTGCATTTTTATTTTACAATGTTAACAATGAATATTCAAATTTTATAAATAACTTTTGTATAAATATGTATAATATATACATATTATTTCAATCACATACTAATTATAAAGCGTAATATTTAATATGTAATAGAGCACAGTATTCTCAAGATATACAAAAGTAAAGTCAATTAAGCAATTTGATCGCAAAGAGGAAAACAATTTGATGTAAAATTCTTGCATATGAATCATAATAATTTTGCGTAAAAAAAAAATCGCTTACAATATAAGTATGCATACATAAGCAAAATTATTCGATTGAAAAAAATCGGTACATTCGCTATTTTCTTCGACGAACGATCATGATAAAAAGAAAAACACCCGTTTTCATAGAATTTAATAAAAAATTAAATTGTTTGTGACATTTAAACAATTTATGGCATTGCACGATTATTAACACAAAAATTCACTATGTGTACGTATACACAATTTTTTTATATTAACGAGGATATGCATGGCAAAACAGGACTTTGGAAAGACAACAACAGGAGAAGAAAAAAATAAAATAAATGCATAACATACAACTATAATAAGATATTTTGCTACTACTGCCCCCCGTTGCCGTCTCATGCTTTGCCACCACCGCTGACGATAGTTTCTAATAAATGAAAAATTTATAGAGTGTAAATAGTTACTTATATAAACTGATTGTCCCATTTATTAAATTTCAGGTAATATCCTATATCACAATTTTTCTTGTATAAAATATCTATTTTTTCCTTGTATATTTCCCTCTACATTAATTTTTCTAATATGTATTACAAAAAAATGTAATATAAAATCAATAAATAAAACAGTGATAAATGTTACAATTATTTAATTTATCCGTCGCTGACTATTTATCACTATTAATTTTTATTTCATAACAAAGATAAATATTTTAATAAATCAAATGATTAACCAGAGTAAGGTCTTAAGTTGATTGAATCTTAATCTACTTTAAAAATTAAAATCACAGAAAATGTACGTTATTTCAAAATACTATGGATTTTACATAAAATCGATTAGCAATTATAAAATTATTCTGTACTTTCGATACTTTTGATTGCTTAGCTTTTTCGTGTGATTTTCTTATTATACAAATGATTATTGTCCTTATAATGAACAAAATATACTTTTATAAAAAGTCCACTTTTGAGAAAATCAGTTTATATTTAAAATCAATAAGTCGATCGTTTATTATTAGAAACCATCGGGTCTGTTACATAGTAAAGAAGAAAAAAGTATACATACACCCACCATTCCGCAGCAATATTTCTTGAACCATAAGAAACCATTATCATATTATTACAGGAAATATAATGACAACATTAAATGAAAATAAAAAGATTTTATAGGACAGCGTCTCTATGAACGATCGATGCAGTCAGTTGCTGTTTTTGTACGCCTCAGCCGTTGGCTTACCTCGACGATGGCGCCTCTCGGTGACGGCTCATCGAATCGAGAAGTCGTTGGTAACGTCTCAGAAACTTCATTGTCGATACTGTACTCATTACTGATCAGGCCCTCGTCTTCGCCGTCGTCATCCATGAGTGCTTCGCCCATGTCGATATCGTTATCTTCCTCATACTCCGTTAGATGATTATAACAGATGAGATTTCCGTTTTGCGAATGCTCACGCAAATTACCATAAACATGAACTAGGATATTTAAAATATCGTGATTATAAAATTTTTTTCAATAAATTCAATTTTTCAGACATTAAATATATTTAAATATATTTAGCAAGAAACATATATAAAAATTAATAGTTTAATTGAGAAAAGAACTTTTTTAACGAAAAAAGAAAGCCTCTAATATCATTGTAAGATAGTCTCCATAATAAATTTCATATTCGAGAACATTCCTTTATTTGTTATTAATTTTCTTAAATAATTCATTTGTTGTTACTTGATATTTTGTAGTTTCAAGTTTTATTTAGAGTATCTAGGAAATCAATATCCAAGGTACGATGTTTTCAAAAGTAAATACTTCCAACGTGTTAAAATTAAAATTAGAATAGACTTTATTTTATGTAAAACACTGATTGATAAAATAAATAATTAAATAATTTTGAGTTATGTATATTTTGTTGAAAACAATGCTAATTCGTAGTATTATGAAAATTTTAAAAATTTTGTACAACTTTTATTACAAAAATGCAAAACAATATTTGGTACCTTGACAAAATGCATTGCAGCAGTAATTGCATCGGATTGTCGTTCTTTTATAGCATTCAGCACAAAAATGCCAAGGACAATGAAATATTTGATCTGGACCATCTTCTATAGCTATGCAATGAGGATGATAAACTTTTCCACAAGTTTTCTGATCACATCGATACGCTTCATCAACATTTTCAATTTTCATATTGCAATTCCAACAAATAAGATTTTTTCTATTTCTTGCAAAAAAATTTAAGTAACTGATAAAATTTGATTTAATATTTAACTGATTTAAAATTTAAAAGCATTAAACTTCATATAAAAGAAACAACTTACTTTCTTTGTTTCTTAACTTTTTCAGCTTTTTCGATTTTTTTCTGTTGTACTAAACTTATTTGTTGCTTAGAAACTTTTAAACCAATAAAGCCACTACAATTTGGAGCTTTACAAAGACATGGTTTTCGTGTTTCCCCATCACAGGCTAAGTTATAATTAAAAGTCAATTCTTCACCAAGCTCAATATCGCGCAAAGCAAATAATCCAATTCGCGTATCTCCATTGACTGTCCATTTTTGTGTTTCACAATTTGGTTGACAAGAATGATCTAATAAATAAAGTAATTTAAAAAAGATACGAAATGAATGGTTTTGATAAAAATTTTTTTTTTAATATTTAATGGTATAATTTTAGGAATAAGTTAGTGGAATCTGAGATTCAGTAAAAGTTTTTATAATTATCATATACTTAATTAAACTATAATAGAAGTAGAAGTTTATAATACATTCAGTACAAAACATTCAAAATAAATATTAACAAAATATTGTATTATAAGAAAATGGAAAAAATATTTACTCATGAAACGACTTAAATTTCCCTTTGGTTCCGCATCAATCATTCTATTATTATCTATAGTTAAAAAGTAATAGTTTTCATTTTTTCTTTCCTTCTTTTGGTGCAACCGAAGTTTATATTCAGTTTCATCGATGATCTCACCCACATATTCGATTACAAATTGGCCTTCATTTATGTGCTCTAAAGTCTTCAGTCCCCAGCCCCGTTCCTCTGTATGAACAGGCTTCATGGTTGGATATTTTCTCTGGACAAACAATTGGTTTTGGCATTTTGTACCCGCTGGGCATGCGTCAGGATTACACTCAATCAACAATATACGATTTAAGCAATCGGATTCGGGCGAACATGGATTTGGCTTGGTGGAATCACAATCACAAGCAACCATACTGTCAACTTCAGGAATTTTCACGTTCCCTACTGGCTTATTTACCTATTGGTATTTAATTTATTATGCTTTAGTAACATTCAAACATTATTTTCATTTTATTTTATAAATAAAAAAATACATAAATATTATTTTTTATACTAATTAACTATTATTTTTTATTTTTAATTAAAAAAACTCAATAATATATATTTGTTGTCTATTATTATTTTTATTTTTCTAAATATCATTGATAAAAATAAGTATTATTAAAATATCGTACTTTTAATTTTACATATGGAGGTGGTTTAAGATGTCGATAACTATCTCGATCTTTAGCGATTGCTTTCTCAAACATAAGGCGTTCGTGAATAATTTTTGCTTCTTCCAAAGCTTTCCTATAAGATTCTTCAACTTTTTTAGAACCTATTACTTTTGTACTAGCATCTCCATCTTGAAATAGAAAAGCTTTCCCTCTATAGTTATAATATATATTATTTACATTTATTGTTGATTTAGTATATTCAGTATATTGCAGTAGTCCAAATTTAATTCAATTTTACCTGTGAACCCAATAATAATCTCTTGTTCCTAAGAACATTACACAAAATTCACCAACTTTATGTGATCGTAGAGCAATTTTAGATGGAATTTCTTGTGGATAGCAAATAAGAGATGGCCACCATCGATAGGTGCCAAGTTTTACCCAAACAACTTCTCCATAAAGTGGTAATCTACCAGTTTCACAATCTTCACAAATAAAGCCACCATCTGGAGCATCAATACCTAAATAAAGTAATTAAAATTGAAATTAGACCTTCAAGCTCTAGTAAAACCACAAATAAACTAACCACATATACAAGAAATTTATCTGTAGCAATAATTAAAATACAGAAACATAATATAAGAAAAAAAATTAATTTTAAAAAACTGTTATTTTGATTTAAAATAAAATAAAAATAAAATAAAAATAAAAATAAGAATGAATAAATGATTCAAGTGGTAATCGATAGTTTTATTTTACAACAGAAATTATCTCTTTCATTACGTAAAAATCTGGAATCTGAATTTTTTAATTGGGGAAATTGGAGCCAGATTAAAAAAAATTATACCTAAGCATTCTAAATGAAAAGATGTGGGACAAGTGTCACAGCAAATCAAGCTCCCGCCTTCAGTACACAGGAAACACCAAGTCGCATTTACAGGCGGATGTGAGGACTTATAATGCTTGGGACACACAATTTGACTACCGGTGAGAATATTCGAACCGGCCGGCAGACAGGATATCGATGCGTGGTAGGTAGAAGGACAGCGCACACAGCGCGCAAACTTTTCGTTAGCGGAACGATGATGACTGTTTTGCGGATTGTCCGACACGCAGGTGTGACAAATATGGTAGGGGCAGGTGAGTCGATCGCCCTGCCAGTGACCCTGAGGCCAGCCCTTGAGGCATTCCGTGTGATAGTGCTTGCCGCAAGCGAGGACCGAACATTTGATACGCTCATCTTCGCGTTCATGGCAGACGAAACAAGGAGGTGCAACCCCGGAGAGGCAGTCGATGCATTTGAAGTTATCATCGTCGAAGTTTGCCTCCTCTTCTCTCAAACTGTTCTCTTTAGTCTTCTCTTTGATTTCACGTAGGTCATCTCTGTAGGCAACATTCTCATCGAGGTCACCGGCTTCGCTTGGTTCCGGGCTGGATTCACCAGGCTTTACACACGATAGATGGAAGTAGGAGTAGCATGGGCCTTTACATCTAATGAGTTTACCCGTTGCTTCACAGATCTGGCAAACACGTTCGTTTTTCATACCTTTAAAGAGCTTGTAAGGCCGCGATCTCTTTCCCAATTCGAGCGAATGCGTAGACGAATCTTCCTTGCACGCGAACTCTTCTTTTTCTGTCTTATTCTTGCGTTTCTTCGTGTTTTCCGATTCAGTGGATCCGATGTCCTCCGGGTCAGAGGATTCTCGCCTGCCTTTCGTTTTTCTTCTTCTGACAGACTTTTCAAGGATTTCAGACTCGACCGAGGTGGTTTCTTCTTGGTCGGAAACCTCCA